TTCCTTAGGGTTGTTTTCATCCCACTTTTTTTTTTTTTTTTTGGAATTATTGTTTAGAGAGGAAGCTTGTTCTGTTGTTGGTATGTTCGTGCTGAAATAATGCCATCTGGGTCCCTGAGCACTGTTGGGAGGGGGTCCGTGAGTAGTTATGTCCTGCAACGGGATGAATGCTGCCCTCACTTTCCTACAGACCCCTTTCGTTGATATCTGGCGGCGAGGCCACGGCCAGCTGGATCTGTTGGGTGTGTCCTTCGCGTCCCTGAAGGAGCAGGTCGACAGTGAGGTGGGGCTTGCTGGGAAGAGAAGGGTGGGTCTGTGGGGGGACTGAACGTTGGAGCCATCCAGATCCCAACCTCTGGTATTTGCACAGCGGAGGCAGCAGCTGCTCGAGGAGGCCCATCGGCTCTCAGACACACTTCGCAGGTGACACAGTGGGTCCTCCCACCCCTGATCTCTAGCCTGTAGTTGGGGGGTGTGCAGTCCTTCCAAAGGCACAATGTTCTTCAGCCTCAGGTCGGAGGAGGTCCAGCCTTTGGCAGCTCCTGAGGAAGAGATGGCCAGCAACCAAGGTGACTCCCAGCACTGCCTCTGGGTGGACGAGTTCGCACCTCGGTCCTACACGGAGCTGCTCAGTGACGACGTGAGACCTTATTGTTCAAGCGTGACCTGCTCTTTTGTTGCCAAAAACGAAAGTTGTAGGATTTAGCTAATTTTTATGTTGTCAGTTTCCAGGGCATTGGAATGGAAGAGATGGCTTTTTGGTGTTTTTAAGATTTTATTTACTTTTTTGAGAGTGAGAGAGGGAGAAGCAGACTCCCCACTGAGCAGGCAGCCAGGATGAAGCCCGATCCCAGGACCCTTGGATCATGACCTGAGCCAAAGGCAGCCGCTGAACCACCTGAGCCACTTAGAAGCCCCAGAAGAGATGTTTTTTTTTTTTTTTTTAAAGATTTTATTTATTTATTTGAGAGAGAGGGAATGGGGAGAGAGCACATGAGAGGGGGGAGGGTCAGAGGGAGAAGCAGACTCCCTGCCGAGCAGGGAGCCCGAAGCGGGACTCGATCCAGGGACTCCAGGA